TGGGGGGGGTTTGGGAACCCCGAGGCAGCCATGGAAGGGAGATAGAGACTCAGGGCCAAATGGTGGCAGCACTAGGCTCAGTTGAAGGTTTAATATTTTAAACTTCTTATTTCAGATGCTGATTGCTGGTAACAAAGATGCCACTAGATGCAGAAGTCTCCCTTCACCTTGATACCCAATCTAAGAGCCGATTGACTGACTGCTTTTCATGGTACCTGTTACTGACACCACCCCCCAGTTTGAAACAAGTAGGAAAGTAAGTAGCTTGTTATTGTTTATTGCAAGGATGGGGATTGAATACAAAAGTGGAGAAGTCATGCTTGATTTAGAAAGGGCACTGGTGAGACCACATCTGGACCAATATGTACAGCATTGATCTCCTGACTAAAGAAAGAATGTAAATGCCTTGGCGACAATTCAACAAAGGTGTACCAGACTAATAAATGGAATGAGTAGATTGTCTTACGAAGAAAGGTTGGACGTTCTTGGCTTGTATCGGCTGTAGTTTAGAAGTGTAAGAAGCAACTTGATCGAAACATACAAGATCCTGATCGGTCTTGACAGGATAGATGTGGAGAGAATATTTCCTCTGGCGACAACATCTAGAACTAGGAGTCACTGTTTAAAAATAAGGGGCTTCCCAGTTAAGTCAGGAAAGTGGTGTTGAAGTTAATATCAGATCAGCCATGATTGTATTAAATGATTGATTAGACGTGAAGGTCTAAGTGGCCGACTTCTGCTCTGAAATCAGAAATCAACACCCCGCCCATGTTGTATGCTGATTGATCAGCCCTCGGAGAAACTGAAAGCTGATTGGCTGTTGAAAATGGCACTCAGTAGGGGTGACTTGTTTGAATACAAACCTGGGAGAGGGAGCAAAAGAGACAGTAGTGGAGCTTGTTGTGCAGTGGTAGTGTCCCTAACTTTGAAATGGGAGATCCAGGTTCATGCCCTATATGCTCCAGACATGTTAATAATATCTCTGAACAAGTTGATAGAAAATACCTCGACAGATAATCACCAATCCATAAACTTCTGGAGTTATGCAGTTGCTGAGTCTGTTAAAGAACTCACTGTTCTTTTTGTGGAGAAGTATAATTAGAGAGACTATTGAGAATTGTTAACTATTATTTAGCAGACAGGTTTGTTTTTGCTTTGAGATTGTCCTGTAATTTTATTGCAACTTTTTGTTTGCTTTCCTAGAACGTTTTAGTGAAACATTAATTTTTTTTCCCTCTACCTCCCAGCATGCATCATTCACCACATCTACACCCCCAGGCTAAGTGCAGAGAATGTGACAATGGAAGTCAAGAAGATGAAAATCTATCTCTGATAAGGCACATGATATCAACAATAAACAACATTTCCTGGAAATTAATTGGGTTATATGGGAATTTTGTGAACCTAGTGTTTATTTGCATGATTTATATATAACCTTAAATAGGCCACAGCAGGAGTAGCATGTGCAATTCTGGTCACCATGATACAGGAAAGATGTGATGGCACTAGCGAGGGTGGAGAAGAGATTCACCAGGATGTTGCCTGGGCTGGAGGGATTCAGCTTCAGGGAAAATGGACTGGATAGATTGGGGTTACTTTCCATAGAGGAGAGAAGGCTGAGGTGGTATCTGTTGTACAAAGCTCTGAGGGACTTACAGGGTAGTTAGGGAGAGAGGTTTTCCTTGGAGAGGAATCAATAACCAGGAAGTACAGTTTTAAGGTAAGAAGCAGGAGTTTTAGAGAGGATTTGATGATTTTTTTTCACTCAGAGGATTGTGGGTATCCGGAACTCACAGCCCGAAAGGGTGATAGGGTGGAAACTGTCAAGACATTTAAGAACCAGTTGGATGAACACTTGAAATGCTATAATATACAAAGCTACAAGCCAAGTGCTGGATAATAGGATTAGAGTAGATGGATATTTGATGACTGTACAGAGAGAGTAGGCTGGAGAATCTCTTTCTGTGCTGCAAAATGTCTATGACGGTATGTTTTTTATATCATTTATGGCAATATGCTTATTTTGCATTCCTAATTGCCCTGGAGAAGATGGTATTGAGCTTCCTTCTTGAACTACTGCAGCCCTTGGGGTGTAGGAACAATTAGGAAGGAAGTTCCAGGATTTTGACTCAGCAACTTTGAAGGAATGACAACACAGTTCCATGTCAGGATGGTGCATGGTTCAGAGAAGAACTTGTTTAATTGAGTTGTTTTCCAAGTAAAGGTTTGAAACTCATAGTTGTAGTCAGTGTCTCTTCTGGATTTTTAAGTAACCTTTCAAGATTGTAGGTATCACATTGACACACAAGGCCTTGTATTCATTAAGGGTGGGTTTCAGTCATTCACTTTTACATAGGTCACAGTGGCTGGATCTCTCTCATACAGACACACACACACTGTTGCTGATGGAAACACAGACACAGACCAGTCAATTGGGATGTGAAAGAAAAGTGGCAACTTTTTTTTTGGCTGGGAAGAGCCAACCAGTGTCAACTATTTCCATTCAGTAATAGATATTTTCCAATCAACCTGTTCAGAGATGTTATTACTCACTTCTGCAGCAAGTTGGGCTTGAACCCAGATAGGGATACTACCATTGTACCACGAAAGCCCAAGCAACCAGTGATAGCTAAATGATCCCAACCAGCATCAACTGTTTCCAACTAGTAATAGCTGGATAATGGGATTAGAGTAGATGGATATTTACTTTCCAACCAGCATTATCCAATATCATTAGTTTCCAACTGGTTTCTACACAAGTTGACAACTTTTTAAAATGTTTCAACCATTCTGGTTAAGGTTTTTTTTCTTGATTTACTATGCGTTACCTCCTCTACTTTGCCAGTTCCTCTCTCCTTCAAACTCCTGTCCATGCACTTTTCGTTTTTTATTCTTTCATCCTCATATTCTTATTTTTGAATCAGCATAAATACTATGGACGGCTATATTTGATCTTTCAAAACTATCATAACATTCGGGATCCTCATTGTACTATACAGTCGAGTTTGAATGCAGGAAAACTCTGTGGCTAATTTGTCCACATCAAGACCTGCGAACAACAAGCTGTTTTGGTGACATTTGATGAAAGGACAAACATTGGCCTGAATCTCAGCTATGTCAAAATCCTGGAAATCTCTGAATAACAGCATTGTGCGTCTAATGACAGTACATGGACTGCCGTGGTCAAGGATGCAGCTCACCACTGCCTTCTCAAGAGCAACAGGGAATGGGTACTGAATCCTGGCCCAGTCAGGGACGGCTGCATCCCTTGGGTGAATATGTAAAAGAGAACACTAGGAGAACTAACCCAATTTTCTTCCACACGGCATTATTTGACCATTTACCTGACACAGCAGACATTGGGCCTCCAGAATAATGCCTCAGCTGAGAGACAGCATTTCCTCAATACCATGCACCATCAGCATAAATTTTGAGCTTAAGTCTTTGGAGTGGAAGTTCCTTAAACTTACAACCTTCTGGTTCATTAATGTGCTAACTCAGGCACAGCTGACAACTGTAGTGCTATCTCCAATGTCCTTGGAAGGTTTGGTATTGCTGCATTCTTCAAATCTTCAAAGATAGACAAGTAGAGTTGAAATCCAAAATAGTGGCTGTTGGAAAACAATATACAGCATTTTTTTCATATTTGATACTTTTTTTGCTTACATGTTGCAAGCAGCATTCCTCTACTAACCTTGTTTACTTTCCCGAATGAATTTTAAAATCAAACAAAAATAAATTCAAGCAGAAATGTGGATATGTGTCTAAAAATAAATGTTCCCAGCTCTGACATCGGCCATTATTTGACTCTAAACTCTCTAGCCTGGTCCCTGCTGTAAAATACCGTCATAGCAATCGGTTCTGGCTGCTGCTACCTCTAACACTGCGGCAGTGGTGACCGATGCAGCTGGCATTTTTTTTCTGAGAGGGAGAAGGGAAACGGAGAAGAAGGGGTACAGTCTTATTGCTCAGTAAGGGCACCGGTGTGACATATTCTCTCCCAATGGTGACTGACTATAGGGGCGAGAGAGAGAGAGAGCTGCACTGACACACTCCACGTCGCCGCTGATCGAGTAAAGTTTCTCTTGTGGCAAAAGCAGGCTCCATCAGAAAATCTGAACGGCATTTTAAAAACAAAATCATGAGACGCTACCATACTAGGAGGAAAAAAAATAGAACGGATGAACTGGCGAACGAGAATGGTAAAGGCTTTCAGTCCTCAGTAAATTAGCCCCTTGATAATAGTCTATCAGTGACACGAGGCTGCATACCAGTTTCATATTTCTTGCTGAAACAATCTGAAAATCCCATTAATAACCTGAACTAAGAAAGGGATAATATTTTAACACTTGAAATTAAAGACTGCACTTTGAACTGAGCTTTCGGCGCAGCCTTTAGCGATTTATTTTATTCATAAGCATTTGTCTTTTGAAATGGAAAATCCAAGTTTTCCCCTGCTTGGTCATTGACGTCAGTCTCTCCCCTCCTCCAGCCTGTAGTAATCCGCTCTGGGTGATTTTTGTAAAATATATCGCGAGATGTTGAGAGAATCCAGAGCTGGGGTTTTATTTTCTCATTTCCCTACAGTGGTAGGGAGGAGGGAGAGATAGAGACACACATTGATATCTCCTATATGAGATAAATAAGAGAGAGTGAGGTTGACTGATTGAGTGAGTGTAGGCTACACTACAATGTTAGGGGAGGGCGGCTCAGTTTGATTTGACACGCAGACGCTCAGAGAAACTGCTTTCGCTTTTAGTGACACAGACAGCTAGGGACCGTGCAGTCACAGTGACTGGGTCTCTCTCATATAGACACACATATACGTACAGTTTCTTCGACCAGGGCAAACGGCTGCAAATCCGCCCCCTAGGGTTAGGGAGAGAAGCCCGGTGGCTCTGAGCTGTACACCTTGAGTCAGTGAAGCAGGTTTCTTTCTCTCTCTCTCTCTCTGAAAGCCCGGTGGCAGGGGGAGGGGTGAAGCGACGAGAGGCACTGAACACACACACCGGAGATAGCAGCGAGAATTCGTCTACATCTCATCATGGCTTCAACCACAACGTGTACCAGGTTCACGGACGAATACCAGCTCTTCGAGGAACTTGGAAAGTATGGCAAACACATCTTGTCATTTTTATTTCTCTCTGTTTTTGGTTCAATTGACACAGTTGCATTTCCAAACGAAATTTTCTTGACTTGGCGGTAAGCATTGGTATTCTGGCGTGGAGGGGTGGGTTGCATTAATAATGTTTTCACGGAGTGCAGTCTTACGGTTATGCATAGTTATGTTTTGTTAAATGTTATTGGAAGTGTCAAGGCATGTTGTGGGACACTGCTACAATCTCAAGACGTAAAATCCAGCAAAATGCATGGTGTCCCTTTTTCTCCTCCTGTGGGGAAAGGTGTTTCATATCATAATCCAGATTCTGCGCCGAGTAACCTGAAAAAGTTTCCCTTTTCTTGATGTTTTGTTGACAAAATCCACCTGAAGTGTGTTTGGTAAACACATTTTCAATACTTTGGGTTCTATTTTGCTTTTAATGTTTGGCTTTCCACTTGTTTGCTCTTCAGCTGGATTGTAGCCGCGTTGCAATGTGGCGAGGGTTGTGTATCTGTACTATTTTTGCTTGAATGTATGCATACATACATGTATATGTGATCGATTGCTTTCAGGGGAGCCTTCTCGGTGGTGAGACGATGCATGAAAATCTCCACGGGACAGGAATACGCTGCCAAAATTATCAACACCAAAAAATTGTCTGCCAGGGGTAGGTGTATGTCAACGTTTTTGTAACATTCCACTGTTAATATGTTGGGTGCATTGCAGGAATATTCAGCGTGCAAAGGTCAGAATAGCTATCTCCTGGAATGAATAGATGGCACCTGCAGAATTGTTATAATCCTTGCAAGTTGCCGTCATTTGAATGGAGTTGACAATTGGCACCCCTTATTACGCGCCGTATTGGAAACGGGTAAGTTCTACGGAATTAATTTGTGGAAATGCAAAGTGAGCTGAAACACATCCAAGCGGAGGTCACTGATAAAAGTGAACAGCAAATCTAGTTGCGCTAGTTACGTCGAGTTAAGACTTGCATATTTATTTATCCGTCAGTATTTGAGACTGGGAAGCATTCCAATCAGTTTGCCAACGCCCCTTTTCGGACATATTTGTAAAAGTAGGAACGGCTTTTTCTTCTGCGTGTAAACACAGAACTTCAGTGGAATCAATGACTGCGAAATATTTCGCCTTATGCTAATTCTGGGCGATTTAATCCATAGCCTGGCCTAATACATATTTAATACGCTTGAAAGTTTGCCTGTGCCGAGGCCTTTCATATCACTAAAAGGATGAATTATGGATGCTCTGTTCTAATTCCGAGGACGTTTCTTCTCCTCATTCTCGACTTGGCTTTTCGGAGTGGCTGACGGGGTCCTGCAGGTCTTGTCAGTTCCAGTGGCCAACTGCTGCAGGGATAGAATCGAATCTTTGAAACCTTTAGAGGAATGAGCGAACATACACTCTGTCAAACTGTGATTTCGTTCACTCGTCCGCACCGTTTTCTGGGGGAACAGTAAAGCTGCCTTACGACTTAAACTGAGCTTCAGAGAATGGTTCCAGCGTAGAAGGAGGCCATTTGCTCTGTCATGTTCATACTAGCCCTCTGCAGGAGCGATATACCTACTGTTATTTTCCCACCTTTTTTTTGCATCCTGGCATTTTTTAAAATTTAAATTTGCCTGGATTGAATCTGCCCTCCTCCACTGCAGTGGCAAGGCAATAGAATCCAGACCCGAACCAGTCATTGCACGAAAAAATATTTTCCACATGAACCCACTGCATGTTTTACTCACATCTTTAAATCTGTGCCACGGAAGGGAATGATTTCTCCTGATCCACTCTGTCCAGACTTTTAAAACCTCCATAAACTCTTGCTGATGAACAAAAGCTTAATAGATCACTTCTACTTTCTTCGGTTTGTCTGTGCAACAGAAGTTCCTCCTCGGAACCATTCTCATTCTTTCCACACCTTCAATTATATCATGTCTTTATTAAAATGTGCTGATTAGAACTGGGCTCAATACTGCAGTTGATGCCAGACCAATGTTTTATTTAAGTTAAGGATGCTTTATGCCTTAATAACCATTTTCTCAACCTGTCCTGCTCCCTTCACTGATTTGTGCAAGCATGAGTCCCTCTCTCCTGCACCACCTTTAGGAGCTCAGCCATCGCTTTATATTTTTCCTCTGTGTTCTTTCTACTAAATCAATCACTTCACCCTTCTTTGCATTCAACTTCATCTGCCCATTCCAATATGTCTATGTCCTTTGGAAGTTATTTTATAACCTCTGGGTTCAAGACATCAGCAAGTTTATATCATCTGCACGTTTTGAAATTATGCCCTTTACATCAAAGTCTTGGTCAATCATATTTATTAGGGAGAATGACTTGGCTTTGTTGGGGAACGGAATAGGATGGGGTGGGGAAGGGAATACAGTGGGGTAGTTTACTAACACAAATCCTGGGCAGCTACACTATAAATCTCCCTTTAGCCTGAAAAATGACAGTTCAGCACTATTCTGTTTCCTTTCATTCAGCTGGTTTTGTTCAACCTCAATAGTTCCAGAAAAATGCCGAGTTGAGACCCTGTTTCTGTCAAGTGTCTGTCACATTGTGTGGAAGATACATGCCTACAGTTAATTAAAAGACCTCTTCATGTAAGTTTTCTGGCTTCCTGATTCATGCTTCTGTCATCTTTGATATTGTTGAAGCCAACACTTAGTAAATCAGATCTAGTTCCAAGAATCTGCTGCTGTCGAATGGGTCTGAGAACATGATTAGTGAAATTTCATATATCTATTGAAAACTGAGTTCCACATTTCAAAGCAACTTATGGAAATGTTTTAATTTTGTCAGGGTTAAAATACTTGGGATTTATTGTTCAAACATTAGGAAATTTAATTGTGTGATAAAGTAAAAGGTAACAAATCTTTGAAACTTTAAAGTTAGTGAAACCCATAACTTGTGAAAACTTGGAGGTTTAAGAATGTCCTCTTGCAAGAAAGGTTTGCATTGACTTATTTTAAATATAGCTGAGAAGATTTAGCATGGATCATTAAATAACGAATGGCAACATGTTATTTACTTTAATACAAATTAAATCTGAAGTTCAGAAATGTAAAAACCATTAGTGTCCAAAATGTGTTAGTAACAAGTTACAATTATCTCATCTCATTATCTAAATTATCTAATTATATAAATTACAATTAGGAAGATCTTTTCAAACCAGTGAATTGTAAATACAGTGAAGTATGATGTTATGAACTCATTATGCAATCAATAACATGTATCACAACAGAGAAAGTTTAATAGGGTGCTCAGGGGGATTCATCTAATTTTAACACTTGAGGTTCAAACTACAGTATTTGTTGCAGAGGGTAATGGAATGGTAGGAAGTTATTTGTTCCTTTTTTGAAGTTTCTCAATGCCAGTTTGTCCCCACATGAATGTACAATGAGGAGTTCATTGGTTTAAAAATATTAGGTCACAAAGTGCATTGGTTAAACCGTATTAACAAATGGGCTGAGAACTTTTTTTATTCTGTTAAATTCTGAATTTATTAGTGATTTCTCACCTTTCACATAAGGTGGATGTCTGAAATACCTTTTTTGGTAAATATAATTTACAAAATCAAATTGTGCTTTTAATACATTTTGCTAGTAAGAATGATAACCTAGTATTTACTTGAGCTTTAATCATAAAAGCTGGAATCAATTTGTTCCAATATTTAATAATTCTGGTCTTTATTTTGCTCTTTATATTGATTTTTTTCTGTACCAATTGGGGTAACTGTTCATTTCCAAAATTGGCATACTATATTCTTGAACTAGATATTCAAGTTGCTTGTGTAGTTGAAACTGCAATTAAAAATTCATAACTTGCTTTGGGCATGTTTATTCAACCGAAGTGGCTGTTTTGTAAATATTATGTAGCACCGTTTACTGTGTGCAATTAAAAAATAATGGTCAAAACAGTTTTGTTTCACCAGTTTGTAGTAGATTTCAAAAGTTCGTTGTTAGTGTTAGTGACAACAAAATGATACATTTTGTAATGGGTACAAGCGATTGCAGTTCACCCACTGCAGCTGTATAGTAAGCAATAGATTCTGCCACTGAACCCTAGTTTTTATGTTTCAGGGTTTAATTGCCTTTATATCAACTTGATTCCTCCCCAACCCTGTATTACCAATGGGAGTTTCCATTTGTAGTAACTAGACAATGTGTCTCCAAACAAAAGTGGAGAGAGGAAAATTAACCAGATGGTTTTTGCATCTGTAGAGACTTCCGATTTGTACTGACAATGCCCGTAGGAAAGCTGGCTGTCCAGGTCATACAGTTTTAAATGTAGATGAAAATATAATCAGGGCAAAATTCATGAAATAGAACCAATGACAGGCAGCTAAGAGCATTGGCCATTCAGAACACAGAAGCAAGTTGTTTAGTTAGCATTCATACCCAGTATTTTTGAGCATGTTTTGTCATTTTTGTTCAAGGAAAGCAACAGTCTTTGTCCTACCTGAGTTAACTAATGTTTTCTAGCTCTTCTATCAGGTACTCAGATCTCCGTACCAACTGATAACCATTTGGCTGCAGCTCAGTAATAATCAGGCAAATAAAGTGCACGGTTTGCATGCGGCAAGGGCTGAATAAGGGGGCATGAATAAGTAAATATTTTCTTTTGGTGAACTTACTGCTTTCATTTGGGTAGTGGAATGAAAATCTTAACATTCACCTGAGAAGGCATCTTGATACACAGACTCATCTGTAAGATGGTACCTCCAGCACTGCAGTGTCAATCTGTCATTGTAGATCATGAGTAGTTGCTCTTTAATGTTGTTTTGGCCTATGACATTTTGATTTCCGGGCAGAAGTGATACTTTAGCTGTAATGGATTTATTTTTCTAACAGCACTGTCAACTTGACATCTTGAATACTGTTTGCTACTTTGTGGTTAGAATTGTCAGCTTCAAGCTTTCTAATAATTAAGAGCAACGCCCCCAACCTGTGTGCTTGAATGATGAACTTCTGATACAATAGTTATTTCTGCTGTCTTTTCATCTACTTTCCAGAGCTGCAGCCCTCTGAGATCTCTGCACTGCTTCAGTTCTGACGGCTTGCATGTCATCGCGTTTCATCAATATTGCTATATGAATGCAAGTTATTATTGTTCAAGTCTTCCTGCTAACTCTTTGCACATGTCCTTTCCCTCTTTTGTGATTTGTTTTGTAACCCTGCTGAATTGTCCTGCTGCTCTCCATCTCCACACATGCAAACTAGTGATCCCTTTGCTCCTTTTCTCATTGCTGCAATCTCCAGAAATCCTGCAGCAACTGACCTATAAATACCGCAAGTGTTTGGGGGCGGGGGGGTGGAGAAAGATATAAAATGGACCGTGCAACTAAATAAATGTTGCAGTGAACAAAACATGTGATCTGACTTTGCCTTGAAAATACACATTGTTGGTGCAATATGAAAATATCACCAGCATTACAAAAGGTTTGGGGACAATTTAACACTGGGGAGACAATGGTTTGAATGTAGATTGTTGGGAAGTTGGTTGCAAGCTACCAATGTTTGACTCCACAACATGTGAGGCTCCATAAGTGCACCTCTTTTGAAAGAGGTGGGTTGTCAGTTCAAAACGTTAATTGTTCAAATGGTATTGACGTGAGTTTTGCAATTTAAGTTTAGTTCCATGGTTTTGTGTAGG